CTCTTACAAACAAGTAGTTCTTTATTGATGCAAACACTGAAGTAATTAAAGATGAATCGAGAAAATGTTACACGAGTCTGATTTATTTCATTTTATTTTCTTCTTGCAATTTATTTTTGAATTACTTAATTTTTGTAAAGTAATTAATTCTCCAAAAAATATATTATACGCAATTTTGCATATAAAGATAATAACTGTGCATTTTAGATATTCGAAAAAAATTTTAATTCAAGTATTTAAAAAACAGACTGACATAACGTTTTCTCTCATATGAATTTTGTGAAATGAGATAGAAACATCTAATCGCACGTTCCTTTCTGTCATTATTTGCGTAGTATAAATGCATTTTATCGTCGCATGAGCATTAGAATTTGTACTTAGTTATAATTATAAGATGCATAAACCAAAATTTTATTGTTTTAGATTTATTTAAAAAAGTTTTTATTAAGGTTAATCAATTCTGGAATATCCTGCTAATTAAAAGGTATCATATGTAAAAAGATGTAGTACATTATATTGTATAAAATATCTACACTATCTCATCAAGTATAATTCAGAATTTCTTCATTTATATATTATTTATAATCATTTAATCATTTAAATTTTCTAAGAAAGTTAAAATCCTTTTTTAAAAAAATTTTCAAGATAATAATCAGTGATAAAATGCAGTTTACTATTTATCTTGTTTAAAACTTTTTTAGGAAAAGCATTTATTAAAGCAAGTTTTAAGGACTAATTAAACAAAATTAATAAATATTTTAATTCGATATTTCAGGTAGATTTAATACGATCCAAGGAAAGCATCAGTCCTTTAAAAGCAAATGGTACTACCTCAGCCGAAACTTCTGTTTAACAAGAAGATAGCAGAAATAAATATATTTCAATGCAGCATAGTTTCTTTAATAAATCATTTCATCTAGCGTTTCTATTCTACAATCTCTATTTTTATTTTATGAATTTCGATTTAACCGATATAAAAGTCATAAATCATACACTCTCCAGAAACTTGTATTCTTCTTCGAAGTAATTTCTAATTCTATCATTTATCTATCATCTTTAATTGTATTATATTTGTACTATATTCAGCGAACAATGCTCATTGCTCTTCGCAAGTACTTTGCAATTTATACTGAACTGTAAATGAAATCCTTCAGTGCATAATCTCTGTGTTTGTACATAGAAACAACAAATTTCCAACAAATTTGCCAATAGTATCCAATTGTGATTTTATGAAATCTCTACTTTTATCTCGATAGAGTAGTTTTGTGATGTCTTGAACTGCGATAGAGTTATGTAAATAGAATTTTAAAAATATGTGGAAACATGAGGAGCAGTATGTATTTTAATTATTATTCATGCCTCGATCAATTCTACTGTATTCCATATAAATTGCAAAAACATGACATTTAATTGCAATGAAGAAGAAGAATATGTTCCAAATAATTAAAAAAAATAATAATTCGAAGTAATAAAGGTGTATAATACGTGTATAAACGTATGTTTTTGTTTTAATGTGAATAATGACGGTAAATAAAATATAATAAAATTTAAAAACATGATCAAGCTTGACAAGATTTATCGATTTACAAAAATGTATTTATATTAGAAATTTATGAAAAACGCATACTTTCAAATCGTGATATGATATTCAGCGAATACGATTGAACAAATATAAATTAAAAATATGTGGCATTTATAAAATACGAAATGAAAAGTAAAATTCGACTTTTCACGGAGAATTACTCTGGCGTATTACTTCACATATTTAAATATTCAAATAATTAATATTCAATAATTTTTATTCTTATAGATATGTATGAAACAAATAGTAATAATATTAAACAGTAACTCCGCAAATTTCATACAAATATCACGATTCAAATATCCAGATATGTGTGCAGTTACAATTATTCGAATATTTAAATATTGACAACTGTAATTTTAAGTTTATCGCATATATTAAATTTTAATTAAAAAGCAAGAATATTGTGTTATCATACAATAATATATGACACTGTACGTAGCTATTAAGTAGTTCAAATAACTTTATAATCATACTATATATCTGCCAAAGAAACCCCACAATTATGTAGTATGTATATTGATACTTCCTTCGAGGGATATCTCTTACTCTTATCGTTAGCAAGTGTTGCTAAATGCGGTGCATATTGAAGAGAAAGACTAATATCGCTTAACTAAGCAATCTGCGCTTGAATATTTTTTATTTATTCTCTGTAATATTAATATGATATTTTAGGAGACAACAACTATGGAAGCTTGAATTTTATAAGCTTGAAAAAGTAGGAAGAAAGGAAATGCAATACACTATTATATAGATGAAAGAAGAATTTCTTTTGTCTCCGAACCATTGAATGATATTAACTTTCTCTTTTCTGATTTCGAAAAATACTAATATCTTGCAACTTTTACGAAAGCAACTTTTTAATAACTGTGAAACACTCCTCTCCAAAGTATTCACAAAATCGTCTCAAAAAAAGTTTCTTTTCTTATTACTAGTTTATTTTTATCACTAATACTTTATCACTAATACTAAAAATCAAATCTCAAAAACATTTAAGAAACTTATAACATATTTCTGTTACTTCTTAAAATTCCAAACTAGCCAAAAAATCTTGCGCGCGAATTTTCAAACTCTATTTTCATAACTTTTTAACATCTGGGCATGCCCAATTGCGACAATATGATATATTCTAATTATAATAAAGTTAATTTCTTTACCGCAAGATTTTTACCAAAAATTTTATGTATCGATAAAAATGTACTGTGTTTTCTATAGAATAACGCAGTAATAAACAATCCCTTGAAGGATATCCAATTTCATAATTCAAAAAAAGGGATATACTCGTTAATTCATATATCATTATACATATATCTGCGATATTTAATAAATAATGAATAAATAGAAACGAAAATATTCTGTTGGTTAATATAGATAGCTGTTTGTTAAATAAAATTATTTGAATTAACTAAGTTAAGACAATTCTTAATATATGCTATTTTTCAAAGGAATTTTCCAATTTCAAGCAAAAATATTTTATTAAAAAAAATGTTATTTTATTAAATTATGATCCATTTTCATATTGAATTTGTGTATAGCAGAAATAATTAATTTTAAAAATTTCTAATATGTATTGAATATTTGCGTTAACAAGCGACTTAACATGTACATATAACTTGTACATGTCAATCCAAAATTTATGAAACAAGAAAATGCGCAAATTTTTCTGAAACAATTTGCGATAGATTTACGATTCGCGAGAACAAAAAATTTCATTCATAAAAATTCCTCAATTTGGCTAATTAAGAAAATACGATCATTACGGCATAAATATTGATACGGAATTTTTAGAAAATTGAATAATTAGCTAAAACAATTATGACATATTTTTTTATACGGTCATTTTGCTAACAGGTAGTTTGAGAAAACGTGTTTCAATAGGGCAAAAAAAAACGCAAAGAGATTGCATCTTGCAATCTCTTGTATGTTTAATTCATAGAAAGGCTCAAGAGAGAAGACCTATAATTAAAACAATATGAAATATTTATATCATGCTGGAAAGTATAGCCGTGTGTACTTTTAAGTATATTTTTACGTAAAGAAAGCGTGCCCCCGCGTATACGGGCCATTTAAATCATGCGCAAAATCCATTTGTCAAAGTGGAAATTGTAACATCAACGCGATATGACGTAATGTGTGATGCTCAGCGTATCGTGTCATCGTAGTGAGAGAATACGAGGGAGTGTCGCGATCTTAGGTGCGAAAATAAACATGCGAATATTAGAATTTATGAATATGATGTATAGTATGAGAATAACTTAATAAAAAAAAAGTGTATGATATGTGTGTTAGTGCGTTCCAACGGTGAACTTCAGCGCGATAATTAGGAGAAACGTACTCTCGTTTGAAGATGACGATTTCGAACGCGTATCGCAGCGAATTCACGATGGCGGATGGGCTATAATCGCCGACGTAGTATTAATTGGTTGTGATTAGGGGAGACCGAATCTCGGAAATTAGCCTCCTCCGAGTTGACGAGGAAAGTAGCTGATGCCTGTCATTATATCTTTAATCATGCTGTGTTACTTTAAATAAATAATGTGCAATTAAAGATGAAAAATGATTACTACCGTTTTCCATTACGAAATACGTCGTTAAATCTAAATATTACAGACAAGAAGCAAAGTTACAGAACTGCGCTTATCATCAATTAATTGGGTTTGACATTTCAACTCAAAGGAACTGCACGATACACCATTATGTCTGCTTTCTTATTTTCTATTTATTATTTTGCTTTTAATAAATCTTATTCTCGTGTATAGTTACAATGTGATCTTGATGAACATGAACTTCCCATTTGAAATTGCACGAGTATCACTAAATACGTTACCACTGTGCCGATTAACTGATAAAAATTAATCAAAATTATTAAAATTATTAATTAAAATTATTAATTATTAATTAATAAAGTAATTTAATTTATGTTATGATTATTCGTATGGAATTCTAAATATTCTCACCGAATGAAGGAAAGTGTTATCAAGCACGAAGTATCCGTTAGCTGTGAATTGTATCTTGCGATGTAACAGTTGAAGAGAGAATTGCTTAAGCTGTAACAAATCTATGATAAATGTTGTTACGACAAATATTTTTTGAAATCGTTTTTTGAGCAAATTTTGATTACCTCTGATTTTGTCTCTTTGCCGATCGCGCAGCTTAAAAGACTGTGCACCACGTTGCCCGTTTTTCTTATCTACAATGAGTTTATAATTAGAACAATGCCGTGCAATTTCCATAAAATTTTCGATTTTATTTGTCGACAAAAATATTCTGTTTTTTCTTAATAATCGATGAGAAATTTGTTGTTACGTCGATTATCCTACCTCGTTCAAAATCTTGGTAATTCGGTTGGCGAGGAGAGAAATAGGATAAATAAGAAATATTAACCAGAAGATGGTATTACTGAGAACCTCGTACTTTAAAATCTCGTCGGCCATCAACAGAGGTGAGATAAGATAGTAGCCGTTATATATGAGCGTCAGGAAGAGAAAAGTGATGGCGCACAGCACTGGCAGTGAATAAAAGTCTGACACGTTCTCGGAGATCTCACAGAGGTGAGAGTGCATATCCCGCAGCTGCAGCAGTTGATGAACCGTGGAATTGCTGACTACGATGCGACGCGTTTGATAGAGAGACTGCGGCCGAATGTCAGGCGTGTTGGTCCTGGACAGACTCTGTATCGCTCGATTCACGTCGTCGAAGTCCGCCTGGATGACTGTAACCAACAAGAAGTATTGTATCAACAGCCAGCCCACGTGAAATGTCGGCACGATATCCGTTAACCAAGAGACTGGGCTCGCGTGGAAAGCCATGACCTCGGTGGTCAAGAGGAAGATCAGCAGGCAGATCTTCAAGACGCAGGCGATGATCTGAGTACCGAGGACACGTTGTCGCCGCAGCGGCGAATACAAACGGTACAAACGATCCATCTCGTGCTCGACATTCATCAATCGATTGGCGATTCTCACCAAGGATCTCTGATCGATGCAGTAGCTGAGCAAAATCGCGCAGATCACCAAGGTGCCAAGTACAGTTTGCAGAATCTCTATGCCTACGGTCAAGTTTGTCTTGTTCTCGTATTGCATATTGACTCTGAACGGTATCGACACATAATTCGAGGCGATCATCAAGCTACCGATTACGACATTGTAGACGATCCCGAATTCGGAATATTGAAATATGCACGATATCTTGTTTTTCTGCGTGACGACACGGTGAGCGAATGTGGCGAGACCGAGGAGCTTGAAAAATATTATTGCTATCCTAAGCAACCAAAATGAATTTTTACGTGGCTCTGATGTTATCTTGTTCACTTTCTGCTTATTAATTTTCTCCGTGACAATATTCTCTTTATTCGGTTTTTTAAAGAAATTGGAAATTTTATTGACATCCATGAAGACTAAATTTTCAATCGAACCGGCGACATTTTTGCAATGACTATTTTCTTCCATATTTTAATCTAAAGTTGATATCTGCTTCTCTTCTCCATTATGAGCAAAGCAACTTATTATATTTACATCTTTCATTTTATGTATTTTGTAGAATTTTTTAAAAATATATTTTATTATATTTTAATTCGATCTTCTTTTTAATATAATGTGTGCCTTTATGAGATATCCGCGTGAAGATTTAATTTGCACATTTGAAAAAATATATTTGTCAAAATGTTTTACGCGTCTATCATTCATAGATATTTCAAGAGATGTCCGTGTCGTCTTATCGATATTTATCTTTCCAATTGCTCTGAATCCAAATTAATCGCGATTCTTTGAATGTCATATACGATCAATCTGGTAAATTCACGTGCACTCGAGTCTACTTTATTCTTCATTCTTACAAAGGTGCACTGAGCATACGGAAAACGATGACGCTTCCGCTAATGTCTTCCTCGTAAGCGTCACGTATGCAAAACATTATTAAATATTAAGTTTGTGAAAGTCATTAAACGTGATGATAAAGAACATAAAGTCGATATTTCAGCTCTATATCAGTCGACACCGATCCCGTGATGAAAATAACCGATTACTGGTACGTTGTGTTACGCACTTAGTGACATCCACTGGAATATTTATTACCTGTATATATATGACATGATATACTGGCATGATAATACGGAATACACTCTCCATTTTCTCCAATTGTAATGTTAGATTATCACACTAATTAATGATCACGACTTGAAAAGACAGTTCCTTATTATTGCACTATATGATAATATTATATCGATGTCTTTTTATAATTTTTTAAATTCTAAAATAAAAATAAAATATTTTTTAGAATACATTAAATATAAATATAAATTCTTCTTTCTTAGTAATATCCCATTAAAAAAATAAAAATATATTTTTATGCATTTTTATTTTAGAAATATCTCTTGTTGCTACAGAAGATATTTCTTCTACTGTCAAAAAGAATTTTACCTTATCTCGCGAATTATCCATCTAAAGTCATATCTGTACAAACGTCATAAAAGTCTTCCTTATATCATGTACATTGTTAATCTATATAGGTCTTCAAAAAAATTGGAAATTTGATGGACATTTGTAAAAATCTCAAAATGTCAAATTCTCAATTAGACTGAACATACTTGCAATAATTATTAATTCGATTTTAAACTTAAATTTTTTCTCTATTATACTTTTTCTATTTATAAAAATTCATAAGTTATAAAGAAATATTTTTTAGATATTTATACCCTAATTCTAAAATATCCTACAGCTATCTATCCGAATCATTTATCAAAACTATTCATCAAATTATATGTTAAAGCAAAATACGCTCGAGTTCAGATTATATACTAGTGGATTATCTGTTTTATCACATCTACTTAATGTACAAGCTCTATATTGCAAATCAAACATTTGCATCAGACCTTCTTGATAATATATAATGCTTCTAAAATAGTTCAGGTTTTGAATGTTTTACTTTTATTAGCTTCAAATTATTATGAACGAAATTGAAATGAAGTTGTCAAATATATTACTATGCTCTATAAATAATCAATCAACATAAAATTCTTTCCAAGAAAAATTTATTATTAATTCTATTAATATAGAAAGAAAGATGATATATTGTTCATAATAATATTTGAAATTGAGTCTTATTATTTTGTTCATTATTTTATTTATTTACTATATTGATATTTTATCTCTCTGTAGAAACAAAGATAAATTTATTTTGTAGGATAAAATATATTTGACGCCATAACGACTTTGCTATGATAGTTTATTTTAATTTTTGACAAGAACATTTCGATACAAAAATTACATTATTAATAAATTCTGGTATTTTTTTCAATTACATTGGATATGTATTATTAATTACAAAATAAGATGTAATACTTACCAATCATTAAATGGTTATAGTAATTGCCATGTTCCCCGTGATAAAGATGTTAAATGTGTCCGAAAATTTGTTAACTTATCTAATTTGTACAATTTCAATATCGTTTTACAAGCACTTTATAATTTTTATTGCAATTACAACAAGTTTAATAAAGATAATAATATTTCAATTATACAAATTAAATTGAAAGAGAATAATACTTTACTAATACGGACATTTTATATCATATGTTTAAAAAAACATTTGCATGAAAAAATAATATATATAATTTTACTCTTTTAAACAGCAATAAATACGAATGTTGTTTTTACATAATCAAGAAAATTAAAATGTGAAAGAAACTTTCAATAGAAACAAAACTGAAATACCAAGAATTACATCTATATCTTTCTGCGCTAATATAATTCTTATATCAATATAGTGTTTATTTTGCTAACATCAATTGTAATAACTAAATAAGTTTTATGTGATAATAACAGTATTTATGTGCTCTTCATAAATTTTTTTCATGGCACCGGCTGAATATACAGGGACTAGTATTTCAATACATGACAGCATAATATACCATCAAGTACAAATACATGTCTCAACTAAATTTTATTCACTACATCAGCCATTTTTATTTAATAATATCTGACAGTGAATGTTTGCCTGATATTGTCCAGTGATTGTAAATACTGCGTCAAGTAATAATGTGAGTGCATTGCGACCATATAATGCAAATATTTACTTACAAATTTATAAAATAAAATATAACACAACTTATTCAAAAAAATTATTTTCCGCATGCGCAAAAATAATGATCGCATTCACAGAATCATTTTACGTTGTTTTTACAGAACTTCATTTTTCCATTCGGTAATATTATCACCAGTGTTATTGTAATAGCTATTTGCAAGATTCATATGTATAAGAGTAATTTCTAATTCTTGTTTTATATTTTCTTTAAGTAAAAAATATTTTATAAGTATTTTATAAATCTTAAAAAATGGAAATTAATAAACTCATTAATAAACTCATAGTTACTTATATAAAATATACATCAACAGTTTACTGTTTTGTTAAATTTTAGTAATATGTATGCTTATCATTTGATTATATGAGCACTGCGATATATTCCATTGTAATGAATAGTAAAGGATGTAATAAGGAATAATATATTAATTGCATTTTATCAAAGGAGTTAAACTTTATCGAATTTTAAATATAAAAGCTATATCCGTAAGAAAGAGAGTGAATGTGCCATTAAATAATAATTTAAAGGTTGCCACATATGAAATATAGAAAAAGGATCATAAAAAAGTCATATTGGCCAAATATTCTTGTATGAATGTGCCCGATGTACTTCAACTATAATATACTCTTTTTTAGTACTATAATGATATACAAGCAAATAAGCAAAAGTTTACATTATCAGATAAAAAAAGTTTACATATGTTACTTGGCTGTTTCATGTTTAGGACTCTCATTTCTAGTAGGCACTTCTGCTTCTATTTCTTTTTCAGTAATTGATGCTGATTCTGCTTGTGTCTCTGTTTGTGCTATCTGCTCAATTTCTGTATTTGATTTTGGTTTTGGCTCAGATTCCACTTCTGGTTCTCGTTCGCATTCCGCTTCTTGTTCTGGTTCTGTTATCGGTCCTGTTTCAGTCACATCCAGTATACTATCATCTGCTGGTAAATCCTCTGATATATTTGTATCTATATATTGATATTCATAATAAATATATATCACAAAATATAATTTTTAATTTTAAAAGGATTTGATATTTTAAAAAGATTTCTAAGTTTAATATATTGTCAATATTCGTTGAACCTAACAAAATTACCTGAACAAGCAGGATCGGACATTAATGAAAATACTTTTTCTTCCGGCATATCTTTCGTTAATTTTTTAAAATGGACTACTTGATCCGAGAATGATTGCCAAAACGATTGACCCTCAGGTATAGTAAACATAACCTATATGTTGATTTAATAAATATACAATAAAAGAAATAAATGTAAATAACGATATTTTTTATGTATGACACTTTACCTTGTATTTGTTATATATGTGCTCAGCTTTTTGTCTAATCTGTTCTGCTTTTTGTTTAAAAATAGCCTATAAAGAATATTATATATTAGCAGGACAAAAATAACAGCATTATGTACTAAAAAATGTATTATAAAGACACGCATGCATATGTTTTTATACATACTCCTTCTTCTTCGCTTAATTTCCATTCCCCTAAATTTCCAATGTATCGTCGCAGCTTAAATAAAAAACAATTAGGAAAATAAAATTATTGTAATATTATAAATCATTAAGAATTTAAGATCACTTACCCTTTTTACTGTTTCAACAATATGGGGATGTTTTTTCAACATTAAAGGATCAATTGAAAGAGCCAAAATTTCATCCATCGCTTGTAAGCATTTATCAGTATTAGCTCGATCCAGTCCAAGATTAGATTTTATTTGAGCATCTAATTGCAAGAGTTGAGCTTCTATACGAAGCCATCTAACAAGTATCATTGTATATGGTCAGTACCATATATATACATATATACATACATACATACATACATACATACATACATACATACATACATACATACATACATACATACATACATATACATACACACACACATACACATA